CAAGATATTTTGTTTAAACTGCATTTTGAAAACCTTTTAAAGGGAAAAATGTTTGACTGAACAATTTGAACGTTTCAGGGCCCCAGTCCTAATTGCTGTGGTTCTGGGTGGGGGGGGGGCTGGGGCTGGGCCCCCATCATGGCTCCGCCCTTAACCATGAGGGAGGCCCCCTAGATCGCCTGCTGGGCACTGTTAATGTGCGACCGTCAACTTTTATTCTGTATCCGCTCCTGCCTGAATCTTAATTGATCCAAACAATACTGTTGGGACCACTATTTCTAGCGGTGCCCCTATCTTAATATTTAATGATAAACGAAGTGTAAGATGAAGACTCAGAGAAATATCACCATTTTGTGTAACTATTTTGTATCAAATCCATCAATATTCTGTTCACATTTTCGCCGATCACCATCATTACTTCAACTCTACTCCAACCAACTAACTAACTTATTACGAGTTGCAACATACATGTTCACGTTGACTGAGACTTGTCGATTGATATTTTCCATACCTTTGTCCTTATTAGGTATTGAGATTCAAAACATGTTATTTACTACTGCTTTAAATCAAATATAAAATCAACATTATAATTAAAACTCTACATGCCGCCGTGTATCTCGGCACGTATTACACTACCGAATGTAAGAACAATAACTGTGTGGGGTCTTAGGATACCAAGGAAGGTCTGGGCCCCAACAAATACACAACATTGCTAGAACTGTAGAAATTGGTCAACAAACAGACCTTTCGCTTCTTGATTTTGAAACAGGCCTTCGCAAGGTCCTTTATGAAAATGTACTGGCAAAATTGAAACATTATGGCATAGAAGGTAACGTTTATGCATGGATAAATTCATTCTTGACTGGATGAATATGACAGTTATTATTGAAAGAGTCAGATCTGAAACAGTTGAAGTTACCTCAGGTTTTCCCCAAGGCTCCATCCAGGGCCGTCGCTACGGGGTGTGTGTGTGTGTGTGAGGGGGGGTGACACTCCCCCAGATCCTAACCTTCTCGGCAAATCTTCAAAAATGGAAGTTTTGTCGGCAACTTCTAGAAACTGGCAAATTTTCAGAAGAAAGAAAGATAATTTTACCATTTTTAAATAGATATCAGTTGTTGTTGACAGCACCAGTCACTGTTGAAATTGGCGAAAACCTAACGAAAATGATTGATGATCGTTCAAACTCTTTCATGCTAAAGGCCAGGCGCGGTCTGGCCCGGCTGGCAAAGTGGCGATCCTCATCGGGCCCTCAGACGTGTAAAGTAAAGAAAATTACGGGCCCTTTCTGCAAAAGTTGGAGTGGAGAAGATAATTTTCATAAACTGGAAACTGCAGTCACAGCCAAGGCCCTGACATGCGTACTTGGTTCACAACTAAGTATGAAAATGAAGTCTGCGCGCCGCCAAAGGACCGCACTATGACCAACAAGCACAATACAGAAATTCTATTTCAAATTTCGCACAAAGACAAGTCTGTCCCACTTCCAAGAGAAATAATTTGGAACTGTATGTAGAGATCAAGGAGCTGTTGTTTTTAGGTAGTTGTCTGGAGTCGCCGTTGTTACATTTCTAGCTGATAATGACCTTCAATACACTCCTTTTTTATAAGAACTAGATAATCTTCGCTGAGCCTCGATGTTCTAAACTTTTTGATAGTTTTAGGCTCAAATGTTCTTAAAAATTTTTTTATTTTAAAAGTGATTTTTTTGCAAATATTTGAGAAGTTACATACTAAAAGCTTTTTCGTCTGACACTCCTCAGAGCATAAAACGTCAGAATAAGGTTCCGAAAGAACACGATGGAAAATATATACCCAGTTGTGGATCGAAATAGGCCAATCAGAAAAACGCAAGCACAAGACCAGTATAGTTGACCAATCAGTGCCGCGAGCCTAAAGAAAAATTACCAATGGAGTCCAAGAGAAAAAACGAACTCCTTTTGTCTACACAATGGCGGCTTTTTCGTTTTTATGTAGATTGACTCCAAAACTGCTAGATGGAAGGACGACCGGGCTCTGCCAATTATCCGAAACATGTCGTCATTAGAGAGTTTTGCACAATCTGGGTTGTCTACACGATCACTTTTTACCATCACTTTTTTCGATATTGGACCAACATGCTGAAAAGTGATCGTGTAACATACTAAAATTCGCGTCTTTTTCTTCTTTTCTCGAAACTCTAGGCCGTTCCCTTCTCGTCAAAACATCATGTGTCGTAAGAATTTGTCGGCGCTTTTGAAAAAAAGTGATGAACTCGATTTTTCTCTGCTTTCGTTCAGAGTAAAATTTCCAATGATAAAGGATTAACAGCAGATAAGCGCATTAAATTCTGCAGCGAAAATGGACAATTTTAGTATGTTACACGATCACTTTTCAGCATGTTGGTCCAATATCGAAAAAAGTGATGGTAAAAAGTGATCGTGTAACCCGGCCTTAAAAGATGTTGACGGATGGCAGAATCACTTGTTTTAACAGTGTTTCTAGACCTACAAGATCGAGGAGGCTTCCATTGGTAATTTTTCTTTAGGCTCGCGGCACTGATTGGTCAACTTGTCACACACCGTGTGTTGTGAGACTTAAAAGTTATCCTAACAGTAGTCCTTGAAGACTAAAGGTATAACCAAGATAGCACAAACACAGAAAGTTCACGTACTTCTTTGAGCCACTTCAACTCATCCTCTTATTCAAACTTTACATGCTGTATATATACTTAAAAGCAAGAGGATCTATATTTAGAAAATAATGAGCAAGTTTCATTAACGACATGAAATACGTAAAAAGTACCACGTGAAAAACATGGGAAAGGAAGGGAAGGGCTGAATAGGTATGCTAAAACAAGCTTAATGACGCTAAACTAAATAAAAACATACGTAAATGATACCTGTGATACAAGGAAAACGAAATAAACAACGATGACTAAACTAGCCATTAACAAAGAGAGGGGATGTGACGCAGACTTGCTTACGTGCGTGCCAGGGGTAGCCTACGATAATGATATGCAAAACAGAAGATCCTAAAATGAATGGGTCTACGGGGAAAATGTAAGCAAGCTGTGGAGACGGGCCTAAGGGGGTAAAAGGAACGTACAAAGGAGGGTTCGTGACAAACTATACCGGTCTTGTGCTTGCGTTTTTCTGATTGGCCTATTTCGATCCACAACTGGGTATATATTTTCCATCGTGTTCTTTCGGAACCTTATTCTGACGTTTTATGCTCTGAGGAGTGTCAGACGAAAAAGCTTTTAGTATGTCGTAAAATGTTTGCTTTTTTCAAAGCCATTTTCAAATTCTGTACCGCAAACAAATTGTTCATACTGTATATAGTTTCTAAAACGTTTTACTGCGTAAAGTTCGAAAACAGAGCAGTGACTGCTTGTAAATTGCATAGTTTTGTTCTGTTGACATGACATGTAATGCTGGCCCTAGCTGGGTTTCGGTGCCATGTCAGTATGTGTTAATTCATAACTTTGATTTGTTGTCCTGTAAATATGTTGTCTAGCTGTGTCTGTACAGTTTGTGTTTGCTATGTTGATTGATGTAAGCCAGAATTACATGTGATATCCAAATCCAACTTTTATGTAAATTGTATTCAGTTGGTAATTGAACACGCCACACATAAATTTCAAAATGCGAATTGTTTTTTTAAATTTCTCGTCTGAAGCTGAGCATGTTCTAGCCTTGCTCTTATTTTTTGGCAAATCGAGCCTCAGTGTTCTTAAAAAGTGTGTTCTTAAAAAATAGTGTACATGATCAGACATATAGACTAGACAAGTCTGGTGCAGGTTAAGGAATAAGGAAGGTTAAAACTGTATCGTTTTAAGTTCTCTAAATTATATTAGGTTTGCTGGAAAATATTGCAAAAAGTATTAGACTAGGATTGTTATTTTGAACTGTTATTAGAGTTTCTTGGAGTTACAAATAGAACCATTGTTTTGCTGTTCTTATGCAGAGTTTGACTGCATACATAGAATCCTTGATTTACATAGAGAACCAGAACCGTCAATAATTGTTTGGACTGAGCATATTTTAGCCTTTTCTCGCATTAGTTGGTGTGGCTCAAAAAGTTTATCTGCCACACCCAGAACCAAGACCTTTTGGTTTGCTAGCAACCTTGAAACTATGACGTTGAGCAAAACTGAAATATAGCAGAATTAAGTGCTGAACAGTAAACAATAAGTTCTATGATCTGTTTTCGGCAAATACGACGATAAAAAAATTGCCGGAACAGAGAATATTCCTGGTCTAAACCGGTGGTCAAAACCATTGGTCAAAACCGGTGGCGTAGGCCATGTATATTATCATTTTTTATCGAGTAATGTTGCAAAAAGTAGAAGGATAAGTTTTTCCAATGACGTAATTTTCCTCAGATTTCTATTACTGATTACGAAATCCCATTATGAATAGTCATTACGAAATCCCGCCTTATTTTCGTAAAGAAGCCGTTTTTCTCCAAAAAATCCATTCCATTCCCGATTCCCGATTCCCCGTTTTAGTAATAGAGTTCTAAAGTGTGACATCATCAAAAACCTTTTTTAGAATTCTTGAATTTTAACCACATAGCGTTAAAGATCACCATGAAATACTTTCAAATACGCAAAATTGGCCAAATATGTCTAAAATCGGTTGAGATATGGCTAATGAAAGATTTGAAGTTTGCTAACGAATCACTGTTGTTTTCGCTCTGTTCATAAAGTTATGAACAGAGATCAAAATACAGAGGTTTGATGGGGAGAGAACCAATAAACATGTAGCCATATCTCTGCCATTTCGTAATACACTTGCTTTATTTTGCAAATTTACAGGTATTTCATGGTGCTCTTTCAGGTTATGGGATCCAAATTAAAAAATTCTAAAAAAAGATTTTCGTGACGTCATCACTTTAGCACTCTATAGCGGGTATAGACCTACTTGGATACTTTCCCAGCTTGACCCAATCAACACGAGCAGAATATCTGTTCAAGGCAACTGTCATTGCACAACATGCCTAGACTTGTCCTTACCCAGAAATATAAGTACCTCTATATTTCCAGTTGCAGTAAGTGCACTGGTGAGGTGAGGCTCAAAATTCTCCTACATCGAAAGAAAGTCAGGAATTAAATTTCAAAGATGCAAACTTTGATTTTCTTCTGTCTTGCTGTCCAACTTTGCCATATCAATTCGGCATTGGCAGAAAGTCAGCCAGCAGTTCATGTAAAAGCCATACCAAGATCTTGTCTTGACTACCTGAGAGACGGGACAACAACGAATGGATACTACTCTATTGCCGGACCGAAAGGGGAATCTCTTCATGTCTATTGCGACTTCACTTCAGAACCAGGCTCAGCATGGACCCTGGCTGTTTCATGGGCTTTTAAAAACAGCAACATGGCTGCCTTCAGAAACACACCCTTTTCTGTGGATATGCCAGTTAACGAAAGAACGCCAAATTGGGTGGCTTACAGGCTCTCAAAAGCTCAAATGCTTTCTATCAAGGCCCATTCAACGCACTGGAGGGCTACATGCAGTTATAACAGATCGAGTAATAGCGTCGACTTCACCGATTACGTTAGAGCCAACTTACAGGCCATTGATATCACGTCCTTTCTTGGGCATGGAATATGCAAGAAAGTTGAATACATCAACATTCGTGGTCATGCAGCCTATCAGAAGACCGCTAGGTTTTGGCAAGTGCTGAATACATATATTATACACATTGACAGTTCCATTTCGAGCGATACTTGTGAGTTTGGAGCAAAGCTAGGAGCAGCTTGGAGTGAAGACAATTTTGGGTATTATCTTACAACAAACAAGAACTTCAAATGCACTGCAAATCCAGAGTCAACCACCCAGTACTGGTTTGGTAGCTACGTATAAAGCAATGACTTCGATCTTTGATTTTCAGATATACCTAGCTTCCGTTTTTGTTTATATGACATAATAATTGAATCAAAAGAAATATTCTGATTACTTTTTATCAAGGTTGATCATGGGGTTTTGCAAGAAGTCGACCTGCAAAGCTCTTGGGTGTTTCGTTTAATAGAATGAGCATTGATCTTCCCACTAAGTAGCCGTATATGATTATCATTTTGATAATATCAAATTTTTATGTTAATTTTTTATTATATTAGATCATACCTGAATACGATACTATTTTATTCCAAGTTGATTCAAATGTTGGTATTCTGGCGTGAACCAATGCTTTGTATGCACTTCCTCGCCTTTGTAGCCAGTGGCGAAGCTAACCAAGAACAGGTGGTCCTGCCCAAAGGGGGTCTGGGGGCATAGCCCCTAGAAAAATCACGTGAAGCCACGCCCTAGACAACCCCGGAAAAGGGGGAAACGCCCTTCTGGATATGTTTAAATCAAGATTGCAGCGAAACATTTTTAACTGCCACATTTTGGAAAAAAGGGGAAAAAGGTTCGGATCCTTTAAAGTTCCTCCTGCCTTACATTGAAGAAGTCAAAAGAGCATCACAAAAATTCTTTCTAAAATAAGCAACATTTGAAAATGTTTTGCTTGTACAGATAGGCATATACAGTTGTAATACATACTGGAAACATAATTGATTCAAATTATTTGAAAAAAAATAAAAATATTTTGTCACAGCATGGATATGTCTGATGCACGGTAGATAGGGTCTTGAATCAATTTGTTTTGAATATTAGAGGAGACCCATGACATTTTGCCAGTACAATACAATCTGAGTCACCGAGTACAAAAGCTCCCAGTAATTGCCATTGTTTTCCTTTTCATCCTTTTCAAAGCGACCTTTTCATCGGGACCTCTGAATTGTAGGGTAGTTCCTGTTTAAGGCAGGAGGACGAACTTCTGAAATTAAATTTAAGCAAGCCTTTTTCTGTCATGCACACTCCCAGGGCCGTCGAGAGACGGGCCGGGCCCCAGGGCTGGGACTGTCATGGGGCCCCACCGTCGAAGGCTGAAAAAACCTTTTTTGGGTTACGCCCTTAGCAATGCAGTTAGATGGACTGTAAAAGGCCGGGCCGATGTAAGATGACATCGCAGGGGTTGGTTGGATCGTGATCCCGCTTTGTGATTTTGGTTAAGACTTTTATAGCGTTTGGATTTGTTATGGTTCTTCGCATGTGCTTCTTCTCTGGTGTACGCCGTGAATGGAAGATTTACTTTTATGTTTATAGGAAGTCAACACAAGAAATAACTAAAACATTTGACCTAAAAGTAGATATATGTGAGTGCAATCGAATTTTTCGGCTTCCGGAGAAGTATGTTATGATCGTATCGTCAATATCTTGATTATAAACCTTAACAAGAAAAGGCCCTCATCATAGACCAGTATGTTGATCACATGTTGAAAGATTAAATTTCGAATATCAATCGGGTCATGGCCCCGCTCTGCTAATGCTGCTAATTGAAAACTCATAGCCAAAAATACATACCTTATTTTCTACGGGCCCCTCAAGGCCCCGGGCCCCCTGGTAACTACCCTGGTTACCTTTCTCGCTTCTATTTGCCCCCCCCCCCTCTCGACGGTCCTGCACACTCCATCTCCCCTCGATCTCGACTTTTCTGGTACAAAAAAAACGAAGATTCTCTCTCGGCAGCGGCGGCAAATTTTTCTACTGTTTATAATAGGCCTCTGAATATGACTTCCTTTGCTCTCTGCAGTCTGAGAGAAAACTATATGCTGTCAGGTTCCTCGCGATGTCTGTGATATTCCTGACTTTAACAGTAAATAGGACCAACAGAACGACCCTAAACAATTTGATTTATATAAGTGCCACTCGTCTTGAAACGATCGATTCTTGTATCAATCAAGTGACGACAGTGTAGGGCCGAAGCTTCCAGCAGCAAAAACCTCTTCAGCAGCTGAATCATGACGGTTACAGTTAGTTTTATACATGATATCAAAATAGTTGAGCCTGACTATGGCCTGAGTGAAAATTCTTTGTGACCTTTGACCACGGCGCAGAAAATCAACAAATTATACCGAAACATAGGGCTCCAAAAGTCTAGCAGACAGGGAATTTTCCTCAACAATCTGAACTTCAACCTAACTTTGAATCTCATTTTACAATAATAGCAATTCGACCATGCTGATTCCAAATCCGAGATGGGCCCTTTGAAATTTCGACTGGAAGTGTGAATGTTTGATGACGTCACAGAGGGACATTTTTTGCCAGTAAAATACTCAAAGCGGGGCAAAAATACACGTAAATTGAGTGAAAATGGTCTCATTCGATAGTTCTTGATGTTATGATTTGAATGGTATATAGTTCTCAGAGTTTTGGAGATGTCAGCAAATAAATTGATGACGTCATCATTTGGCAAAATAGAAGAGCAGTTACGCGCGCTACGCGGGCACACTGCAGCACTTACGTCCGCGAGTGTAAAATTTCCATCAGCAAAGACAAGAAGTCTGTTAAAACTGCCAATGAATGATAATAAAATTAGCCTTGGTAAAGACAAGAATTCTGTCCAAGCCCCCAATGAATTATAGGAAATTCGCCCCTGAAAGAAAAGACAAAATGTCTAGCCTCTATCTCAAATTGAATGGACACGCCCCATAGGGGTCACGTGATAAAAAGCAGCTTGCTCTGCTAAAAAATTTAGTAAAAAATTCACTCGCACTCCTGTGACTATCGCTAGGAAGGGGGCTATTGGCAATAGGCTCCTTTTCAACTGATGTGTACTAAAAGTTTTCCTATTTTTCAGTGTTATTGCACTATAAAATAGTAATTACTTTTTCACTGAAAATTGATAGATGTAAATTTGTCTCTTTTAAAAAGGCTAATGTTGCTAATATAATCTATTATATAAGCTATAGGGTGCCTGCGCAGCAGGTTTAAGACTTTTTGAAATTTTATTAGGCATCTGGTACACTTGCCCTTTAGACCAGTTTATGGGTTAACCTTAAACCTCTCCCACTCTTTGTTTTGTATCACACGTTTAAAAAATGTTACAATATACTTCTTTAAGCTGTTGTTGACCTGTGATAAATGTTTCAAAATGTTTTTAAATACCGTCATAGCACTGCTATTTATACTGAAGCAAATGATTCTAAATTTCCCACAAAAAATCTTCAGTGGCCATGAACTCATTGGGCATTCGTTAATTATATACTTGTTATTGTTGAA